AAGGTCTACATCAAAAGAACCAACACGGGTCTCCTTCTGCATTTCCAGAGTCATGTTGACATTAAGTACAAGCGCAGCCTAGTTAACACCATGGTGGATCGCGCTTATCGATTATCTTCTAACTGGTCTTTCTTCTCCGAGGAATGTGACCGCCTTAGAGGGGTTTTTCATAACTTGAAATACCCAAAGCCACTGGTTGAAACTACAATCAAGCGGTTCGTTGAGAGAAGGATTTCATCTGCAGAACCCTGTCCATCACCAGACGTACCATCGGAGACTGTGAGATTAGTGTTACCCTTCAAGGACCAGTCGTCAGCTAATCATGTTAAACAACAACTGAACAGTCTAAGCTCGAAGTTAAGCGTGACTGTCCAACCAGTGTTCGTTAGCCCTAAGCTCGATCAACAGCTTAAGCAACACGAAATTAAGCCCCCTATTGTTAACCAACAATGTATCGTTTATGAATTTAAATGTAACCTGTGTGATGCAGGGTATGTGGGCTACACTCGTGGTCACTTACACGAGCGCGTAGAAGGGCACAAAAGGAAATCATCTTCTATCTACAAACACTACCACCTCCAGCACAATAGTGAAATGCCTGAACGCTTGATCGAGCAATTCAACGTCATCACGAAATGTAACGGCAAATTTGATTGTCTTGTTAATGAAATGTTGTATATTCGCATGCGTAAGCCAACACTGAACGTGCAAACGGATTCCATCCGCGCCAAGGTGTTTGTTTAAGCCGTTCAGTCTAATTTATGCTATTCTTGTACCTTTCCTTATTTGCATGTTTTTAAACTAGTCTCTTGATAATGGAGTCACGATGACCCCGAAACGTCGAGTAATAAATCTTTCCTGGTTTTTTCTATGCCTTTGCTTTAGCAAATCCCTGCTGATCAAGGTCTTGATGTTGATTCAAAAAATGGTAACGGCAACACACCCTTGCTATTTGCTGCACAGTGTGGCAAGGTTAAAGCGGTAAATTATCTGTTAGACAAGGGAGCTGATCCCTTTGTGGAAGGACAGTTTGGAAGTAATTCACTGCACTTCGCCTCAACGGGTGGTAATGTCGCCATCATCGAGACAATAATGTCACGTGGTCTTGATGTTGATTCAAAAAATGGTGACGGATCCACACCTTTAATATTGGCTGCACTGAGTGACAAGATTGACGCGGTAAATTATCTGTTAGACAAGGGAGCTGATCCCTTTGTGGAAGAACAGCTTGGACGAAATTCCCTGCACTTCGCTGTACAGGGTGGTAATGTCGCCATCATCGAGACAATAATGTCACGTGGTCTTCATGTGGATTCAAAAGATGAGAACGGCGTCACACCCTTGCATTACGCTTTAGGGTGTGGCAAGGTTCAGGCTGTAAATTATCTGTTAGACAAGGGAGCTGATCCCTTTGTGAAAGTTAAGTTTGGACCGAATTCCCTGCACTTCGCTGCCTATGGAGGTAATGTCACCATCATCGAAACAATAATGTCACGTGGTCTTGATGTCGATTCAAAAGATGGTGACGGGAGTACACCGTTGCTAGCGGCTGCATGGTTTGGCAAGGTTGAGGCGGTAAATTATCTATTAGACAAGGGAGCGGATCCCTTTGCAAAAGAACAGTTTGGAAGAAATTCACTGCACTTCGCTTCAGCGAGTGGTAATGTTGCCATCATCGAGATAATAATGTCATATGGTCTTGATGTGGATTCAAAAGATGACGATGGCAAGACACCTTTGATATTAGCTGTAGAGAATGGCAATGTTAACGCGTTAAATTATCTGTTAGACAAAGGAGCTGATCCCTTTGTGAAGGAACGGTCAGGAAGTAATTCACTGCACTTCGCTTCAACGGGTGGTAATGTCGCCATCATCAAGACAATACTGTCACGTGGTCTTGATGTTGATTCAAAAGATGGTGACGGCAACACACCGTTGCTATTGGCTGCACAGTTTGGCAGGGTTAAGGCCGTAAATTATCTGTTAGACAAGGGAGCTGATCCCTTTGTAAAAGGGGAGTTTGGAAGAAATTCACTGCACTTCGCTTCAGAGGGTGGTAATGTTCTCATCATTGAGACAATAATGTCACGTGGTCTTGATGTCGATTCAAAAGATAGCAACGGCAACACACCCTTGCTATTGGCTGCACGGGGTGACAAGGTTGAGGCGGTAAGCCATCTGTTAGACAAGGGAGCGGATCCCTTTGCGAAAGGACAGTTTGGAAGAAATTCACTGCACTTCGCTTCAGAGGGTGGCAATGTCGCCATCATTGAGACAATAATTTCACGTGGTCTTGATGTCGAGTCAAAAGATGGTAACGGGAGTACACCCCTGCTAGCGGCTGCCCGGGGTGGCAAGGTTGAGGCGGTAAATTACCTATTAGACAAGGGAGCGGATCCTTTTGCGAAAGGACAGCTTGGAAGAAATTCACTGCACTTTGCTTCAGAGGGTGGTAATGTCGCCATCATTGAGACAATAATGTCACGTGCTCTTGATGTCGACTCAAAAGATGGTGACGGCAGTACACCCTTGCTATTGGCTGCACAGGGTGATAAGGTTGAGGCGGTAAATTATCTCTTAGACAAGGGAGCTGATCCCTTTGTGAAAGGAAAGTTTGGAAGAAATTCACTGCATTCTGCTTCAATAGGAGGTAATGTCGCCATCATCGAGACAATAATGTCACGTGGTCTTGATGTCGATTCAAAAGATAGGAACGGCAAGACACCCTTGATATTCGCTGTAGGGAATGGCAAGGTTGAGGCGGTAAATTATTTGCTAGTCAAGGGAGCTGATCCTTTTGTGAAAGGACGATTTGGAGCCGATTTACTGCACTTTGCTGCCCATGGTGGTAATGTCGGCATCATCGAGACAATAATTTCACGTGGTGTTGATGTCGATTCAAAAGATGGTAACGGAAACACACCCTTGATAGTGGCTGCACGCGGTGGCAAGTTTGAGGCGCTAAATTATTTGTTAGACAAGGGAGCTGATCCCTTTGTGGAAGGACAGTTCGGAAGAAATTCACTGCACTTTGCTTCAACGGGTGATAACGTCGCCATCATCGAAACAATAATCTCATGTGGTCTTGATGTCGAATCAAAAGATGGTGATGGCAACACACCCTTGATATTAGCTGTAAAGAATGGCAAGGTTGAGGCGTTCAATCATCTGCTAGACAAGGGAGCCGATCCCTTTGTGAAAGGACGATTTGGAAGAAATTTACTGCACTTCGCTTCAATAAGTGGTAATGTAGCCATCATCGAAAAAATGCTATTACTTGGCTTGAGTGTTCTATCTGAAGATATGGACGGCCACACACCGTTAAAGATCGCAAAACAAAATGGTAAAACTGAGGCCGTAGACTTCTTACAAAGCAAGGGAGGTCGTTAGTTTTTAGAGGTGAGTCATTTTCTGAATGTGTTCGTGGGATGCATGTTTACGAAAGATGAATTATGAAGTGGCGGTTATTTTATCTTATGTAATAAACGTAGTTTTCATAAAGCTGAGTTGTTAAAAAAAGTTAAGAATCAAATTGATATTACTGGATTTCAATTAATATTTCAGCAGAAAATTTGTGCGTCATTGAACGAGTGCTAAGTCACAGAAATGGCTGAATGTTGCAGTGTTTTTAAAGGCCGAAACGTTCTGATGTGCATGATAACATCGTAAAAAAAGCTCGATCGATAAAATCTCCAATGGAAATATTAAAGACAAG